ACACACACACACACACACACACACACACACACACACACACACACACACACACAGACGCGTGCTCGTGCACGGGTGATGACGCCAAGAAGACGGCCATGGTGATGGTTAGGAGGTCGACAATCGAGGAGGAGGAGAGGGAGGGGTGACGAGGAGAAAGTTGCAGGAGGGAGGAACGAAGGAAGAGGAGGGAAGAGGAGTAGCGAGGACAAGGACTATCATCGGAGGCTGGAGGAAGAGGGAGGAGGGCGATGAGCATGGATGGAGGAGGAGGGAGGAGGGCGATGTGCATGGACACACACACACGCACACTCACCTTCGCATAGCAGGCGTATGCACTCCAACGAAGCGATCCCCAACGTGGCGAACTCGAAGACTGACTGCCGCACCATTTTTCCGTGGCGGCCCGTGAAATACCTACCACTTCGAATTCGAATTCCTGCCGCCACTGCTTCAAGGGCATCACAAAAAGATGTGTGCCCCTCGTGAGTCCATTTCGAGGACGGACCGACGAAACGCCACCAGCGGTCCAGTAAGGGCATATCGGAAAGTTACGCCCCATGCTGACAGGGGCCTGCAAAAAATTTAAGAGGCCCGATGGCTGCAACAGGGTAAGTCGGCCTTCACAGGGGCACGCCGCAAATAAACGCAAACTTCAGGGGCATTTCTAAAATTTTCCCAAAAAATAAGAAAAAAAAGGCGTTGTAGATATCCAAAAGATTTACAACCCTATATTTTTTTATTTTGTTTTCTGTTTATTGTTTGCCCGAAAAAAAATCTCGGATGTGGCGCTCCTCCCTCCCCACGCCCCCTCCCTCCCCACGCCCCCTCCCTCCTCCCTTCTCCCCCCTTTCTCCTTCCTCTGACATGGTGCTCCTCCGTCCTCTCTCCCTCCTTTGATGTGGCGCTTCTCCCTCCTCCCTCTGACTTGGCGCTCCTGCATCCTCCCTCCTCCCTCTGACGTGGTGCTCCAGCACAGGTGGCACACAGCAGCTGCTGTAACCCCCACCCCACAAATGGACAGTCCATAATCCAGCCCCCTCATGAACGCCTTCCCCCCCCACAACACAGACAAATCTTTGCATGTATCTCGAATCAACCCCCTGATGGGGCCGCTAACTGGCAGCGGCTGAAACTAGTAGGGGTATGCCAGTTATTTCGCTCTTCTGCTCTACACTCTGTTCTGGCGGTGATGAGGGGAATGATGCCATAGCTACCATAGCTATGGATGTGAGAGCTTCCATGATTGTATCTGGTTGTTGAGAACCGATTTGAGAGTTCTTTGCATATATGTGCTGTGGTTATCATGGTTATGCGTGTTGTGTGGACTTCGTTGCAGTCTGCTGTTTATCACAGAGAAATCGACATGCATGAAAAACAAAACAGGCCGGATTTGAAGACCGCTTGTGCCGTCGGGTTAGCGCAACACCGGTGTGCTAAGTCAGCGCACCGGCGCGTGGAGAAACTTTGGTGCCGCGATCACGAATTGACGGGCGATGGTGCCGCGATGACGAATTGACGGGCGACGCAACGTGATGGGGAGAGGTTGCTCGCCGTAAAGTTTTGACGTGTTGACATGTGACGCGACGTGAAGGGGGGAGGTTGCCGCGATGACGAATTGACGGGCGATGCGACGTGATGAGGAGAGGTTGCCCGCCGTGATGTTTTGACGTGTTGACGTGTGACGCGACGTGAAGGGGGGAGGTTGCTCGCTGTGATGTTTTGACGTGTTGACGTGTGACGCGACGTGATGGGGAGAGGTTGGACGTGTGACGCGACGTGAAGAGGAGAGGTTGCTCGCCGTGGCGTTTTGACGTGTTTCTGCATGGCATATCCTAGCAGGTGATTTTGCCATAACTCATAAACTTTGGTGCCGCGATAAGGAGATGGGGTTCGCAATGTGGAATTGACGCGACGGGATGGGGAGATGGTGCTCGCAATGAAGAACTGAAGTGAGGCGCGACCTGATGGGGAGATGTGCTTACTATGACGAACTGAAGAGTGACGCGACGTGATGGGGCGATGGTGCTCGCTATGACGAACTGAAGTGTGACGCGACGTGATGGGGAGATGTGCTTGCTATTGACGTGTTTTCTGCACGACATTTCATTGATGGGCGAAATAGTGTATGTGGGGAAGTTCCTTGCAAAAGGTAAGCGAGGTCTGAGTAGAGAAGTCAATCGAAAGTTAGGAGAGGTGTAGAATACATTCACCCAGTTGACTAAGTTCTCGGTTTGTGATCATCAAAGGGGCATTAAGACAGCGGGAGAGACAAACAAGGAAACGAGGGGGGAGGCGAAGTAGGGAGACGAAAGGGCAAGTGAGACTTTAGTCAGGAGAGAAAGGGAAGTGGAAAAAGAAGACAAGCGGTCGCGGAGGAAAGGGCCATTAAGACTGAGGGAGAGACAAAGATGGAAATGAGGGGGGAAACGAAGTAGGGAGACAAATGGGCAAGCGGGACTTTAGTCAAGGGAGAAAGGGAAGTGGAAGAAAAGGAGACAAGTGAGTCGCGTAGGAAAGACAGACGAAGTACGTAAAGAGGGGAAGGTGTCGCGGAAGAAAGACGGACAGAGTACGTAAAGAGGGGAAGGCGACACACGGAAGGTTACCGTGTTGGGTGAAGGAAAAGAGAAAGGGAAGTATACACGAACGACAAAAGGCTGGACAGAGGCTGGAAAAGAGGAAACAAGGTACATAGGAAAGTAGAGAGGTCTTTTCATACCAAAACTAAAATACGGAGGAAGGAAAGCAAGCTTGTTGGGAAAGAGAAGAGAAAGGAATAAGGAGAAGAGAAAGGAATAGGGTGGAGGGCAGTCGATAAGAGAGGATTGAAGTATTCGGGCGAAATCGGCTAAACCAGAAGAGAGAGTAAGAGGACGCAGCTACAAGGGATGATTTTTTCATCTTCATCAATATCAAACCTCAGTGACTTCTCAGTCTTCACATGCGGGTAATACAGCTTCCACTCTTATAAACACGAGTTCAAAGGTGAGATCATCCGAGAACACATTGAACCTCCAGCTGGCAGATATAACCAAGGGCGGTTCCTACGGAAGAGAGTGCCATCTCTCTCACTGACTGGACGACAAAGAGGAACGAGGAAGCGTGAAAGGGAAAGGCATTACGGGGGAAGAGAGGGGTACATTGTTCACTCTTTGAACAAAAACGAGGAAGGGTGAAGGGTATTCAAAGATATCGAAGCAAAACCAATAGAAAGCAAACGACTGGAAGGCAACGAGGAACGACAGAGGGTGAAAGGGAAAGGCATTAAGGGGGAAGAGAGAGATACATTGCTCACTCATTGGACAAAAACGAGGAAGGGTGAAGGGTATTTAAAGACACCGAAGCAAAACTAATATAAAGCAAACGTAGGAATTGGGTCTGATTAAAAAAAAAAAAAAAAAAAAAAAAAGTCGTTCACGTACGTCATGGCAGCACAAAGGGCGGTCACTGAAAAGGACAGAAGGGAGAACGATTGCTTGAAGACTCAGGAAAGGAGTAATGGGGGTACTGTTTCAGCGTCTCAGGGCACATCATTTGGGGGGGCTCGACCCACTCAATCAAGAGCCCTAGGTCAAAAGGCACTCGACTTTTTGATGGAAAAGACAAAAATCACACCCCTGTTAAAATCATAAAAGGGGTAGGTTCACTGTGATGATAGTGTGTGTGGATCCGGCGTATGCGCAATTTCTCTTGTCACTCGGTTCTCTCAGATGCCACGGATCGGTGGTCACGATTCAGCCATAGAAACCTCCCCAGCCACCACCGGCGGAAGCCTCAAGACATAGACAGAACATGATGAGAGAACATTTTTGGGTGCAGTTTGATAACCTGTCGGAAGGCATGCACAGTTTTGTGCGGCAACGGTTAATGGAAGAATATCCAAACAACCCGATTATTGAATGGCTTCCAGCGAGTCCATACTTCCTTGCTCCTAACCACGACTCTAGGGTGGTCTGCTTGGAAGTCAAATCGGGTGCGCCGCCCAAATTTCCTGAGGTTTGGATTTTTAGAAGAAGAACAAAGCGCATCACAGTCTTCATCTCCACCAAATCCAATCCCTTCTGTTTCAAATGCAGGGGCAGAGGTCATTTGGGAATGCACTGCCCACAGTCAGGGACTGGATCGGGAGGGAGACAACCTCAACAATAAGCCCGGGGTATGGTATATTAACACATCACAATACAGGGGCTGGATATTTGATGATAACTTAGAGACTCCCAGATGGGTATGGGTTCTGAACACTGCGCCAACGATAAAACCGGATATTTACCCACCATACGACAGTCGTTGGCGCCAAACAGGAGCAAAAAGGATGGAAGACAAGGAAGTGGGTTACATCACTAAACCTATGATCGATGATGCCACTGTGCTCGATGATAAACAGAGGTTACAGACCAAGGCAAAATTGCACAAGCTGGGACAGGAAGCGGAGTTGGCCTTCTTGGAAAACAAAAGAGCAAGGGAGGAAGGAAAGAAGGAGGCCAAGAAAGTGGCAGAGGAAGAGGGAAGGAAGGACAACAGTGAACAACAGAGCAGGGAGAGCGTAGTTGAAAGGGATCATAACATGGAAGAGATGGAAGTAGGGGAGGATGGAGGTACATCCACTACAGGGCAGGGTAGGAGGGTGGAGTCGCAGTCCTCTCTTAAAAGGAAAATAAGTGATAGAGAGTCAACGAGGGGGGACAGTATAAGCCAAGGGCCCAAAAGGACACACGCAGAAAGAGGGGAGGAGGAAGCCTCCTTACAGCCAGGGAAGGATCAGGATTCGGGCAAAGACGAAGCGGACCAAGGACACAGCAGTGACCAGGGAGATGGGATGGAAGCCACTCCCCAGGCATCTGGGGAGTCCTCATCCTCCTCATCGAACCATGAATCAGGACGGAATGAAACAGCAGCAGGCAGCAGTTCCACAACAGTCCCAACGGGTCAGAGCACAAGGGGAGCAACAGAGGAAACAGTAAGAGGGGTGCAGGAGGACAGGTCAGAGGAAGGAATGGACAAGATGTCACAGGACTTGAATGAAGAAGAAGACGAAGAAGAGGAAGACAACGATGAGGAAGAGTGGGAAGATGCAGAAGGAGAAGAAGAAGAAGAAGAAGAACCAGAAACTCTGGCTCAGTGGATCAGGACAGTGCATAAATTAAAGTGGGAAAGGCATATTGAATGTGAAATCCGCCTGGCTCACCACAAACATCTCCGAAACCTGAAACAGGCCACAGCAGCAGGAGAGGATTTCACAACAACGAACCGCTTTGAATGGTTGAAGAAAGAACAGGAAGTCAATGAATTCTACGCAGCACAGTACGCATAGAAGGCCAGACCAGATAATAATGACATTACGGTGCACAAGGCTGGATACGCAAAGCAGTTCGTATGGCCAAAAACATACCAGCCACAAGGCTTGAAAAGGTCAGAGCAGAAACGCATGATGCAGCAAGAAGCGGCAAACAAATCCAAAAGTGGGGATCACGAAACAGACGAAGCAACCAACGGAAGAGAAGAGGATGAACAGATGGAAGAGGAGAAAAGACAGGCGGCAATTCTGGAAGCGCAGATCAATGTTCTCAAGGATCAGAACAGGGAGCTGGAGGCAGACACTATAAACCTGCAGAAGATTGCTTCCTCATCGCACACGGACATAAAAGCCGCAGCAAAGCTCTACGCGAGACACAACCCGGGCAAGAGAGTCATCCTTCCTTTTCGCTGGAACAATGGTAATTCGGATTGGGGAGTGTCTATTCAAAAGTCGCTTGCACTACTCACGGTAAACGAAACCCAATGTTCTCAGGAGGTGCTCAAGGAGTTGATCTCTGACGACCTACCCATGAAGGCACAAATATTGGGAAGCATCACACGTGACAGGGAGGAATGGGATGACAAGGCTGGAGGTGGGTCTATGGTTGACTACAGGCCTATCATGATCAGATTACAGGAGAAGGATAGACTGGCGGAGGGTTTGGTCTGGATGCCATGGCAGGTGGTGGAGACAATACCGTACGGTCTCTTGGGTGGGTTGGAGGCAGCTGAGTGGGTCGCGAGGGGGGCGGCAATAGTCACCGGGACAGAAATCTTCTCGTGGTTACCGGATTACATTGCTAACAAGATAGCACCGCTGTCAATAGAGATAGATTGGTCCCAAACAGGTTTTTGAGTAGGTAGTTCTACAAGGGGAAACAATAAGGAACATGACCAATGGAGGAGGGTGTGAGGGAAGAGATAGCTAAGAGAAGAAGGACTGGGACCAATGTAGGAAAGAGAGAGCCAGAAATCTCAATCATGTCATGGAATATTAACGGGATGGTACAGATCTTGGAGAATAAAGATAAATGTGACAATGTATTGAAGTATTCAAATTGGTTTGGAAGGAATCCACCAGATTTTCTATGTATACAGGAAACTCATCTCACAGATACACCGGAACATCAACGTATCCAGCACCGCATCCTACAACAGCTAAGGTGGGTTAAAGCTAGCTTTTGGGCTACAGCGGCTAGATCACACTCAGCAGAAATAGTAATAATACAGAATAAAAGGTCGTTGGCGGCAAACAAAATAGTTATACAAGATGTTATGGTAGACGAGGGAGAAGGACGTTGGATAAAACTCAACTTCGTATACCAGGATGAGTTACTCTCGTTGTTCACGGTTTACTGCCCAAATATAGGACACCAGAGATCGAAAATGCTACAATCATTACAGACGCATATAGACGCAACAAGGCACCTTATAATAACAGGGGACTGGAATGCCACCCCCGAACCAAGCATGGATAGATTGTTTGGAGGTAGATCAGGTTCGGGAGAGGGTTCGTCTTGGGATGAGGCCCTACCTATACATAACCTCATGACATCCAGGGACCTCATTGATCCTTATCGGCTGCACTACCCGGATCAGAAGCAATTCACCTTCTATAAAAGGAACCGTAGTCAGCACATATCTGCGTCTAGGATAGACTATTTTCTCATTTCGCAAGGCCTAATTGGGACTTTGCACGCGGTTGGAATAGGGGACCTGCCATACTGTAATTGCTTAGATCACAAGCCCATTTTCCTCCATCTCCTTTTCAATAAACACGTACAGAGGGGTAAAAGTTTCTATAAAGTCAATAATTCTCTGTTAAAAACCCAAGAGTTGAAAGAAGCTATACTGCAAGTATGTTTGAGTTATGATGAAGAAACACAATCGTTTGAAGACCTCACGAAGACTTTATCAAAGGCAACGTTGGCAGTGGCTAGGCAGTTAGCGTCTAGAAGAGCGGCTAGAGAAAGAGAGCTGCAGCAGGCATTACACATTGCAGAGAGAAACCTAATCAACAATCCGGGTATGGAAATGTACGAGAAAATAATAGACTCAGCTAGAAGGGAACTGGGGGACTGGGAGCGATGGAGGGCCAGGGGTTTGCAGATGAGGGCTAGAGTAAGAGAATGGGAGGAGGGAGAAAGAATGACAAAGTTCTTCTTTCAAAAGATCAAAGCAAGAGGTAGGAATGCGCTGATAGAACAGTTGGATGGACCACAAGGCCTGGAATCTACTCCGGAAGGGATGCTAACAGTAGCTTGCAACTTTTACAGAGACCTTTACACTTCAAGAGAAGCGGATCAGGAACAACACCAACTAAGAGAAGTCAGAAATAAGTTTTTGGCTTATCTAGACTGCACGCTGAAAGGGGACCAAGCACAGATGCTGGACGCCCCTTTAACTCAAGAAGAATTGAGAGAAGCCCTTCACTCAATGCCTCCTAATAAGACTCCAGGAAGGGACGGGCTCACCAAGGAGTTTTGGCAGGAATATTGACCCATTCTAGGAGGGGAATACGAGGCGTTCCTAAATCAGGCATGGCACAAAGAAGGCCTGGGCTTGGAATCCTCGTTGGGAGTTGTTACCCTTTTATACAAGAAGGGGGACCCCAAGAATATCAGAAATTATAAACCAATTACTCTTTTAACACTCACACACAAGATAGTGGCAAAAACACTAGCGAATCGTTTGAGAAAAGTCACAAATAAATGTTTTCATCTGGACCAAACGGGTTTCGTACCCGGAAGATTTATTTTGGATAACGTCATGACGCTGTCAGAATCAGTTAGATATATTACCAATAAGAGGATCAATGCAGCAATCCTTTTCTTTGATTTTGAAAAGGCTTACGATCAGGTAAATTGGAATTTTTTACAGCTTTGCATGGAAAAGATGGGAGTAGGCCCTAACTTTTGCAAATGGATTCGTGTTTTATACAATGACGCACAAGGACAGGTCCAACTCAATGGTCATCTTTCGGAAAAATATAAAATGTCCAGGTCGGTCAGACAGGGAGATCCACTAGCAGCCCCTATTTTTCTATTCATTATGGAGGCAATAGCCTCTTTCCTTTCCTTAGGAAAGACCCCTCCATAGACCTCTTGATAGCAAAACCGGACCAACAGGGACACATCATAACATTGCCCACGACGATATTATTTGCGGATGATCTCACAGTCCTCATTAGAGCCACGAACACCTCGTTCCAGGCCCTCACTAGAGCTATGGAGGCCTTTCAATTGGCATCGGAAATGAAGATTAACTGGCCTAAAACAGTAGGTTGGTGGCTCTCACATCAAGATCAACATAGTCAATCCCTGCCCCCYAATTATGGAGGYATGTCTTGGCWACCGTCRGATCAACCACTGAGATAYTTGGGGATTAGGCTAGCTGACACGGGTCCCCATCACTCCATGGCCCCGGAACAAATGGCGAAAATGTTAGCTAAAATGTCTGCTTGGTCGGAGATTTACACATCGCTGTTTGGGAGGGCATTAGTGTTAAACGCTTCCATTTTCTCAATGTTATGGTATGTCGGGACGATATGGACTCCACCATCACAATCGCTACACAAACTTACAAGGATGGCAGCTGCGTTTTTGTGGACGGCGAATCTGGATAAGACCAATTTCATATCAAAGGTAGCTTGGAGGCAAGTAATTCAATCAAAGGATCAACGAGGGCTGGGTATTTTAGATCCCGCCCAATAGATCAAAGCACTTCAAACTAAATGGGTTATCAAATTACTTACGCAACCCCACCTGAGATGGGTCTCCCTAGCATTGGAACATATACGGGGATTGGCGAGATACACAACTCCGCCAAATATGGAGGGCACGTTCTGGCTATTCTGTAAGGATTGGGCCAAGAAAGGAACAACAAGAGCACACGGGAGTGGGGAAAATGAAGCCAGGTCTTCATACTGGGCCCACATCCTCAAGATATGGGCTGAGGTTTTCCCGACAAGAGTTAGATATCCAAGAACAAGAGAGCAGGTTCTCAGGCAGCCTTTATTTTGTAACCCATGGTTGAAAGACTCACAAGGAAAACCCAGAACACTTACAGCAAAGGATGTCAAGTGGGGGAATTGGGTGGAGCATGGGGTATGGCAGGTAAAACATCTATGGTCACAGGCACACAATAGGTGGAAAACGGGGAGGGAAATGAGGGAAGGAATGAAGGGTTGTCACAGGCTAACTGAGAATTTGAATGAAGTGCTTAACTCCATACCCCAAGAATGGACACAAATATTGAAAAGCCCGTTTAAATGGGGCATGGGTGATTGGGCAACTTGGACCTCAAGCTCGGAACCAGAACAAGCGTTCCGCATTCACCAGGAGGTAGGCCCAGCCAATCAGTGGTTGGAGGCAGACATGTATCCAATCCTAAACCCAGGCTTTATGGTTAGTTAATTGGACAAAGAGACAAGGGTATCAATAGCCATCAACAAAAAACTACTCACGAAAGTCAGGGTCATAGAGACTGACGAATTCACAATTTTTGCTCCCACAACACCTATTCAAGATCTGGAAATTGATCCAGTACACTGGGCTTGGAACATGAAAGAGAATGGTTCAAGGATACGTAAGAGGGTTAACATACTCCACTACACAACTAAATGGGGGTATAGATTAAGAAAGAGATCAACCCAGTTGGATCAACCCCTAGCAATGAGATAGGAAAAAAGGGTGGGAATACCAAGACAGCAAATAAGAAAATTGCCGTGGTCGATTTTGCACACCATCAGGCTGAATAAGGTCCGAAGTATGCAGTGGTTAATATTTCATGTCGCACTACCAGTCAACGTTTGGCTTTTCGAAAAACGAAGCAGGAACAATAGAGACAGACAGGATCTAGAAGTATCTGTTAGCCCAAAAGGTGGGAGAAAGGGAGTTCAGAGGATAAAACACCATAAGAGCTCGAGAAGTGGTCAAGTTCTTTTGAAGTTCCTTGGGTAGAGAGGGTAGAAATAATTGTTTAAGCAAACTCTTAGATCCCAGCCCCCGACACTAGCTCTAGCGTTTAGATTTATCCGAACAGAACTCAGCTGACAACAGCTAGGAGCTCGGCAGCTCAGAGGAACAGAGGGTAGTAGATATAGGCTAACTTAGGCAGGGGTGAGGGGTGGTACATCCTTCCCTATGGAAGTAATCAATGCCGTC